ATATTTGACTTTGATTTCTCTGCCTGTCTTTCCCTGGCCTCACGAAAGGAGCAGTGGATGGTCACTCCATTTCTTAGGTACCAGTTCTTCCTCTCCCCTGGCCCTGCCTGGGCACAATATTTACTTCCACATGTGCCAGCACAGATCTGTCTGGAGCATTTCAAACCCTCAGCAGAGGCAGCTATAAACGCTCAGGACTGGGAACAAAGCTATTATCCCCACTTATGCCACAGTCAATTAAGTAATATTTAATACAGGAGAAAGCAAGAAGCTAATGAAAGGCAGCACTAATGCAAAGCCTCAGCTGCTCCTGCAGTAATCACAGGAGAACATTGCCCACATCTTGGCTCATGTGGCATGCCCCAGGTCCTCTGTGCCCGTGACACAGCAGGTAAGGCAGGGCACCCACACTGGGCCCTGCAGGCCAGTCCCAGACTGGATTCTCACCAAGTGGTGTGAGGTCCTCATCCAACCCTCTTTGTGTATTGTTTCTACTTCCGACTTTGTCTTTTGCAGTGATTCACACACCCAGAATTAACAATAGAACTGGAGATGCACTTGGGAGTGGGTGGAAAAATGAGCTGCCTTCAAAGACACCAACACGTATGTGACACACAGCAAGTGATGGAGCAGCAGTGCCTGAAAGAGCTGTCTGTCATCAATGAGCTGCACTGCCCAGCAGTTGGGCTACTCTGTCAGGCACCAACAAGCTGTTTAGCATTCCTCAAAATTCCCTGATTATGTTCCATCCCACGTCCTTTACCATCAAATACCAACACTGCACCAGGGGCTGAGGCCAGGCTGTCAGAAGCCACAGCACGAGGAGGCCTTCAGCCTTCTTCTGAGCCCAGAAGAGTTTTGGGATGTGAAAAGATTCCTCAAAACTCCCCACGTCATTTCATCTGAAAATGTGTCAGAAGCAGCTGGAAATCAGCAGTGGAACACAGCAGTCCTTTATTTAGAGGAAAAAGCTTTTTTAACAATACAAGAGCCCTGTCCTCAGGTAACACTCAGTAAGCAGCAAAGCCACTGGCAGGTTGGGAAACCTGGGCTGACAGTAAATCAGACATTTCACAGCATGACACACAATGCTGCTCCCATTCAGCATTATATCAGTAACTGAAATTAAGTTCTTTCCCAACCAGCCGCACTGAGAGCTCCTTTCACTCTTCTGAAACAGTTTAAGTGTAAACCAGCAATGAGATAGATACTTACCACCCAACACCAGAGACAGGAAAAAGTGAATTTTTCAATATGATTTTTCCTGAAAGTATCAATTACCAAAACCACGAAGGCACACACAGCAGAGTCTCTGAGAAAATACAGGGACAATCTTCTCAAGTTTTAAGAGAAGTGCACAGATATTTAGTACAGGACTTGAAATCCCTTCTCTCTCCTTAAGTGTCCTGCAGTAAATCAAAGACACCTGAAACAGAGGGCTACTGTCTGAATGAGCTAAGCACACTCATTAATACCTGTTGCTGTTACTTAATAATTTCAGTTTTCTAAAGGAACATCTCACATCAGCATCTGACAGGAGCTTCCTTGTTGGGAAAAACAAACTTTTAACTGTGAATGAAAAACACTGTGCAAGAGCCAAGTAGCATCAAAGACATATCCTGTCCCTTATTACACATTTAGTAGAACAGATATAATTTATCAGTTTGGACTACCTTGGCAAAAATCCAGTATATTTAACAGCCTATGGTACAAGGCAGTCCTCTCCTAAGCATGCTGTGGAGCAGATCCTGAAGCAGTAGGCACAAAGCAGGAGAAGTTATTTCATGGAATACAAAACCACCTAATAACTGCTGAAAAACGCCACTTCCATTAGCAAAAGAAAGGGAGAGAATGAGGTATTGGAAGTGAAAAGTCAGGAAAGCACAGTAGGATCAAGTCTGGCTTTGAACCGGCGCTGGGAAACAGCACAGGAACGAAAGCATCTGGTGGAAAGTAAACACAACGTGTCAGAGCTGGGAGGGAGCTCAGCTGCTCTGCCACCTCATCCCTGCACACAGCACGGACCCTGCAGCACGAGCAGCAGCTCCAGCGCTCCCCAGAACAGCAGAAATGGGCACAGGGAGGGGGCACAGAGCAGGGACTGCTCAACCACCTCCCCTCTCCTGCCTCACAGAGCAGGGACTGCTCAACCACCTCCCCTCTCCTGCCTCACAGAGCAGGGACTGCTCAACCACCTCCCCTCTCCTGCCTCACACCCTCAGGGGCATCCATCCCTTCAGTTCCGGTGTTTAAAACTCAAAATAAACGGGTCACACAATGGAAATGCCTCTGACAGGGAATTAACGTGCTCAGAGGGGCTGGGAGCTCCAGGGCCAGGCAGCCTCCAGCACTCCCAGCTCCTCTAACGAGCTGAGGAGCACAAAACTCGTCAATGAAGAGATGTGGCCTGCCCTGAGCTCAGGACACACCCTGGGTGTGAGATTGAGGCTCACAGCAACAGAGGAAGGACACAAAGCCACCACCAAGTCAGTGGGGCTGTCAAGGAGCTGCAGTGAGAAACCCACTGTGAACTGGGGTGTCAGGCACTGGCACAGCCTCCATGGGCTGTGAAACACCAAATGTGCTCATGGGGTACCTGCTAAGAAGTGGAAAGGAATAAAAGTTTCCATCTCAGATCTACCAGGAGACATGAGGGAATAAGTGATGGCAGATTTTTCCATGTGATTAAATTCCAAAACACAAAACCCAAGACATGGAAATAAACTAACCTCCTGCAAAAAGCACAAGTAAATCACAAGTCCAAACAACAATCTTGCCTTCATTTCTCCTCATATCATTGCTATTTAACAACCACAGGAGCTCCTTCCCAGTGACAACTCTTCCTGGAGAAACTCCTGTTGAGCCAAGACCAACAGCCAACATCCTCCCCACTAAAGCACACTGTTTGTTTTAAACAAATTTGCTTTTCTGAACAGGATAGAGTGTCTGTCTTAGGCTCAGACACTTATCTTGAGACACACAAACGTTGGTGGAACTACAGCACTGGAGCAACATTCAACAGATACAATGAACAATGGAAACACTGTAGGGAAAAGAGGAAGAATTTTTGCAGCTAGTTCCTCTAAAACAGCATTCTGATTTTGTAACATCACCTGAAAATTAGCCAATGTCCCTGGCCACTGCCTGGGAAGCTCTGAATCCACACCCAAAAGCTCAACAGCAGCTTTACAGCTCCCTCAGCTGAGCCAGGAAAAGGCACAGTCCTGTGCTGTTTGCAGCCACCCTCTGGAATTGAGGTAAATGTCTGAAGGATTCCCAAACACACAGGTTTTACCAGAGCAGTGTCTTAATCAGCTGAACACATCCTGGTTTGGGTCGTAATTTTTGCTGTGCTCGTGAGGGTATAAAAAGGAATTATCCCTGTAGTTATCTACTTCAAAATCTCACCATTTGTACTCCAAACAGAAGAGTTTAAAATCACTTTATGTAAATCACACCCAGCTATTCTGAGACAACACATTGCTCTGACCTCGCTGAATCCCAGAGTGCACAAACCCCAGTAACAGCTTCCTACAAGTACACAGAACCCTACAAAATTATCCAAGGAGTGTTTTTTCCTAACTCCAAAGGGCACCAAAGCCAATGCATTTTAACCATTTCTTGTCACAGATTACAACAAACTCATTGTGGCTCTTAATTCTCTTTATGAAGCTGTCTGTCACAAAATTATTTCAGAAAGAACATTCAATTCTTCTCAAAGAACTGGTGCCACAAAGGCCTGGACTTTCACCAGGAGGATCCTCAGGGCTTTGACAGATGATGGAACACTTTCTGTCCTATGCACAAAGGAGTAAAGCAGATTTACTAAAAGCAGCACAACACATTGGAGGGGCTCCACAAGAACACTGCTCACCAAGTCCTGCTCTGGTACAACACACTAAGCTCATAAACTCCATACCAATTTGCTGTAGCTATTTCATGGTGTTTGCCACATTTTTCAGGGCACTGAACAGCAGCTCTACCTTCCTCTGCCACCAAACCAGTACCATAAATTTAACATACGCTGAAATAAATTGGATTCAATCATCCTGGTGGGTCCCTTCCAACTCAGCCTATTCTGTTAAAAACAGAAATTTCCCAGGTATGCCCACTACCAAACAACCCCGTGTCCTGTGCACAAGGGGCTTCACAGAGATTTTAGAAATTGAATTTTCTGTTTCAGTTCAATAGCAGCAGCACGGCAGATCAGTTTCCCTAGTAAAGTTCTCCATTTAGTTACATGTTTACAACTTTGCAGCTTTTGACAGCTGATACTGACTCCACAGCCACCCCCCAACACACCAGCACAGCTCAGCTGCTGGACCAATATTAGGAAAGCTTCTCAGGCTTCAGGAGTTACTTGAAGATGAACATAAATGACATTGGGGCCCGTTACTTCTCAATTACCGTGTGACACTTCACTGTGGAGTCTCACATAACACGTTCTTGATGACTAATTATTTCACCTATACTAATTTCCTGATCACGTGCTTCTCACACAAGAGTGGATAACAGGCCAGCACGGAGAACTGATTGCTGCCTAGAAAAGCTCTGAGAGAAGGACGTTTTAGTCAGGAGATACTAAACATGAAGGGTCTGAAAGCTGAATTAGGAGCTTACTTCTGTATAACAGCTTCAGGGTGAAGAATACCTGGCTGACTACAGCACGTGACGGAAGGGCTGGAGAGGAAGGAATTCCTCTATGTTATTCCTCTGTAATAATCACGTATACATTTGCGTGTATATATATCTATATATATCTCCATATGTATATGACAGATCTCAACACCACAAGACACTGAATGGAAAGGTGAGCAGCAAGCATGACCCTCCCTTATTAACTCTCCTGCTCTCACCCAGCCTGTCCCTCCTGCCCCACACCCCAGCGTCACCTTCCTCGTTCTGACTCCGCTTCCCCCTTCCCAAACCAACATTCCCTTCCCAGCCCCGGCCCCAGCGGTGACAATCCCGGGCCGGAGCGCGGGGAAGGCTCCCCTCACCTCATCCTCCTTGTGATTGCGGATGCCGCGCACCAGGTCCTGCAGGTTCTTGTCAAACATACGGTCGATGCTGCCCTTCACCATCTTCAGCGCCATGGCGGCGGCGGCGGCGGGGCCTGCGCCGGGCTGAGGGGCCGGGCCCGGCCGGGGGGGCCGCCGCGGTGCTACTGCCGCTCGAGCCGGGGGAGAGCAGCGGTGCCGGGGCGCTCACATGCCGAGGGGAGCGGAAGGGCACGGGCGGAGCTGCCCTGGCAGACGGGCGGACACGGGCGACCCCGGCCGCGGGCACAGCTCCAGGCGGCGCTGGGGATCCGGCACCGACAAAATGGCGGCCGGTCAGCTGAGGGCTCGGCCACGCCCCCGACATGGCCACGCCCCGAGCTGCCGGCCACGCCCCCGGGCCAACGCCATCCGCTGTGCCTCTCTCCAGCCCCGCCCACTCCGTCCGGGGCACGCCTCCGTCTGGCCACGCCCCCGGAATGGCCCTCGCCGCTCTCCAGCCACGCCCCAATCACCTTGGACACGCCTCCAAGTGTCTGGACACGCCCTCTGACCCCCGCCCCCGCCCCTCTCTGGCCACGCCTTTTTCACGATCTCATTGCCGCTCTCTAGCCCCGCCTACCCCGCCCAGACCACGCCCCTCGAGTCTGATCACGCCCCGAGCCCGCCCCGTCCTGCCCCTTCAGCAAAGCCGCGCCTACTAACTACTATTTGCCCCGCCCACTCGGCCAAGCCCCGCCCATTCGCCCCTCAGGGGGCTGCAGGCCCGGGAAGGGGATCCTGCCCCTCGCATCCCATGGGATAGAAACAACATTGGAAACAACAAATTCACGAAAGAAAACCCCAACCCTGGAAGCGCCTGAAGCAAACACTGAGTATTTAATGGGCTGCTGGACCTGAATTAGGGGCCAAGAGGCCGGTGGGATCCCGGATTGTGTTAGGAGGAGCATCGGTAGTAGGACATGGCAGCTGCTCCTGCTCTTTCCTCAGTCCTGCTGGGGCTCAGCTGGGATGCTGTGTCCAGCTCTGGGCTCCTCGGGATCAGCGAGACGTGGAGCTCCTGGGATGGGCCTGTGGGGGTTGATGAAGGACATGATGGAGGGACTGGAGCATCTCTTGTACGAGGGCTCGGGCTGTTCAGCCTCCAGAGCAGACCCAGCTGAGAGGGGCCCTCAGCCCTGTGTGCCTGAGGGAGGCTCAGAGCAGGGCCCGGCCTCTGCCCCGTGGGGCCCAGCAGTGGCACCAGAGGAACGGGCAGGGAATGATGCCCAGGAACATCCACCTGGACGTGAGCAGAACTTTGCTGTGCAGGTGACCAAGCAGTGAACAGACTGCCCAGGGAAAGTGTCCCCCTCACTGGGGACATTCCAGAACCATCTAGACACAATCCTGTGCCCTGTGCTCTGGGACGGCCCTGGCGGAGCAGGAAGGTGGGAGCGGATGGCCCGGTGTGGTCACACAAACTTGAATTATTCTGGTGTTCATCTCCGCTCACGGCCCGCGACAGCCGCGTCACCGCTGCCACCGCGGCCACCGCGGCCACCGCGGCCACCGCGGCCACCGCGGCCACCGCGGCCACCGCTGCCACTGCCCCAGAGCTGGCCATGCCCCCATGTCTAGCCACGCCCCCTCTTGGCCACGCCTCTGTGACGGCCACGCCCCCTGGGCGCTCCCGCGGGTCCCACGTGGCAGCGCGGGCGCGCGCGGCGGGGACGCGCGTGGGGACCGCAGTCCTTACGTGGGAATGGGAGTCCCTCTGTGGGAATGGGGGTCCCTCTGTGGGAATGGGGGTCCCTCCATGGGGATGGGGCTTCCTCCCTGAGCATGGGGATCTCTCCATGGGGATGGGGCTCCCTCCGTGAGGCTGGGGGTCCTTCATGGGGATGGGGCTCCCTCCGTGTGGATGGGGGTCCTCCGGTGGGGACGGGATCCCTCCATGGGGATGGGGGTTCGTCGTTGGAGATGGGGGTTCTTCCATGGGGATGAGGAGCCTTTGTGGGCCTGCAGGTCCTTTCTGAGGCTGACAGTTCCTGCATGGGGCCAAGAATCACTCCATAGGGCTGGGGAGCTCTCCATAAGGATAGAGACACCTCCTTGAGTCTGCAGGTCCTTTCTGGGGCTGAGAGTCCCCCCGTGGGGTCAGGGGTACCTTCACAGGGATGGGGATCCCTCCATGGGGCTGCAGGTCCCTCCATGGGAATGGGGGTCCCTTTGTGGTCCTGAGGGTCCTTTCTGAGGCTGAGAGTTCCTGCATGAGGCCAAGGGTCACTCCATGGGGCCACGGAACCCTCCATGGGGATGGAGATCCCTCCATGGGGCTGCAGGTCCTTTCTGGGGCTGAGAGTCCCCCCCATGAGGTCAGGGGTACCTTCACAGGGATGGGGATCCCTCCATGGGGCTGCAGGTCCCTCCATGGGAATGGGGGTCCCTTTGTGGTCCTGAGGGTCATTTCTGAGGCTGAGAGTTCCTTCACGGGGTCAGGAGTTACTCTATGGAGCCGCAGAACCCTCCATAGGGATGGAGATCCCTCCATGGGGCTGCAGGTCCTTCCTGGGGCTGAGAGTCCCCCCCTGGGGTCAGGGCTACCTTCATAGGGATGAGGGGGGCTGCAGGTCCCTCCATGGGGTGGGGGTCCCACAGACTGGGGCTGGCAGAGCTCCACCTTTCCCCTCTGCCCGTGGGTGTCAGCAGTGGTAGAACCAAATTTTGTGTCATTTTTCACTGGGGATGCAGCTCCACAGGCTGCCACACCCGAGCACCCACAAACACCATCACCCACTGTCCCAGGTGAGCAGTGTCAGTGTGGGAGAGCTGTGACAGCTGACATGATGTGATGTGTGGAACTTTGTGGGTGTCCCCACACATGTGGGCACAGAGCGGGCAGTGGTTTGGTGTCCCTGTGACCACAGCTTGTCCTTTACCCCCGTGCCCAACACCCCTGAACGAGCCCCTGCCCATGGGTGCCATGTCCCCACTGCAGGTGGGTGTGACAGGGACCAGGAGAGGGTAAACAAAATGTACAGGATCTGCTTTCCCACCCCACCTTCATCTCCAGAGCAGGATTCTAGCATCAGGGAAAGGAGGGAACTAAAGAGAAAGGAGCTTGCAAACAAAAAGGAGACATGACCTTGCCAAGATCCACCTGGGATTCTGCTCATCAGGGGAAGGAAAAGGATTTCTCTTGCTCCCAGTGTTCTTCCCTTTGTTCTCTGCCCTCAGCCTGGGCTTTGCAGGCTGTTTGTGTTGGCCCAGGGGCAGAGAGAGGAGCCCAGCTCGGGGGCTGTGTTGGTTTCATTCAGAAACAGTTGCACACACCAGCCCCTGTGCAGGAGGTTTCCCTTTTGAAGGGAAGAAGTCAAAGGGAAGAGTTGTGTTTGCTGGAGTCCTCATGGTATGGAGAACATCCAGCTGCCAGGCTGAGGCTGTGGCTGGGAAGGGCTGGCTGTGCCCACTGTGCTGTCACTGTCCCCACACTGTCCCCACACTGTCCCCACACTGTCCCCTGCCTCGGTCTGGGCTGCTCTCTGAGGGGATCCCCAAAAACCTTGTGAAAATCCCTTGTGTTAGGAGCTCAGCCACTGTCACATTGTCACCCTGTCACATTGTCACATTGTCACACTGTCACTTTGTCACACCCTCACAGCCCCAGGCAGGGAAGCCCAGGCCGGGAGATGCAGCACCCCGAGGTGTGGGGAACATCTACAGATGGATTTGAACTCAACACTTGATCCCTCCCAAGTGAATTTCCAAGGATTTCTCCTCCTGAGGCAGCCTTAATTCAGCCTTAAGAATTAAATTTGTGACACAATTGACTTTTTCACTCTTATTCCTGTGAATGCTGAAGGTTTGCAATCCCCTTATGATCACCTTTAATTAACAGCATTGCTTTAAACCTAATTGCTGCCATCGGTGATACCTAAATCTTATAATTCTCAGCTTTTGTCTTTCCCAGCTTTTGTCTTTCCTGGCTTTTGCAGCTCAGATATTTTTATTATTTTTTTTTTAAATAAATTACGCCACCTCCTGTTTTCCCTGCTGCACTTACACAGGCAGCATTCCCAGGGAAGGAATTTTCCCTCTCCAGCTGCTGACAGAGTATCCCTAAGGAATGCTCTGCCTTTGGAGAGCTCTGCTGAGTCCCACAAAACACAATCCTGGCCATCACATCCCCAGTGGAACCCAATCTGTGCTGCTTTTTTGGGTTTTTTTTTTTTGGTTTTCCCCCATGGCAATGCTTCCAAGAGCTTTCTCCCCATTCCTGGCACTCAGAGCACTCTGTGGGTTTCACATCCCAATGATGTTTAAGAGGATGTACTTGGTTATGTTAATTGTGATTTTTATGTGAATCACAAGGAAAAACACATTAAATTGAAGGAAAGAAACCATGAAATTGGGGCTGTTCAGCCTCCAAGGGTCCAGCCAGGGTTCCATGACAGGATGTCCATTTTGGAGAGCTCCTTTTGGGGTGTCCCATGCCTGGGTGCCCATATTGGGGTGTCTGTGTTGGAGTGTCCTTGGCAGGAACGCCGTGCCAGGATGCCTTTTTGGGGTGTCCCTTATGGGGTGACTGAGCCAGGGTGCCCTGTCCCCAGGTGACAATACTGGGGTACCCGTTTTGGGGTGCCCCATGTTGCAGTCCCCAAACTGAGGTGTCTGTGACAGGATGCCCATTTTGGGATGCACATTTTGGGGTGCTTACATTGGGGTGCCCCATGCCCAGGTGCCCATATTGGGGTGTTCTTGCCAGGAACCCCATGACAGGATGCCCTTTTTGGGGTGTCCTTTATGGGGCACTCAGGCTGGGGTGATTGAACCAGGGTGCCCTGTCCCCAGGTGGCAATACTGGGATACTTGTTTTAGGATGCCCATATTGAGGTGCCCCATGTTGCAGTCCCCATGCCAAGGTATCTGTGACAGGATACTCATTTTGGGATGCCCCTTTTGGAGTGTTCCTTTTGGGGTGCCTCATGCCCGGGTGCTCATATTGGGATACCTGTGCTGCAGCGTCTTTGCTGGGATGCCCATGTCAGAATACCCTTTTTGGGGTGTCCCATGTAGGGTTGTCCTTGATGCTCAGCATGGAGTGACTGTGCCAGGGTGTCCTGCCCCTGGTGACAATAGTGGAGTGCCCAAATTGGGCC